TTCAAGGACTGGCATTTCTAGTGAGGTATTTTTAGCCGCTTCATTATTCAATATTTTGAAATCACTAACATTAGTAGCTTTTACAGAAGCCTCTAGTTTTGAATTACTATTGGGCTCTTGAGTTTTGGTTGTGTTTACCGTAGCAATCTCTAACACAGGCATTTTTGGAGAAGTGTTTTTACTTGTTGTATCATTGCTGAAACTTGGATTACTGTCATCAACAGTTGTTGGAACAGGGTTCAAACTTAAATTTAAGTTTGTACTGATATCTGGTTTCAAATTTTTGTCAGGAAGTTCAACACATTTAGTGATCTTCTTATTAATTTTCTTGACATTTTTTAGAGCAGTGTCAATACAAAAGAGATCGGTTCTTACTGAGACCCACAATCCTCCAGCTTTCCTTACTTTTCCAGAAGTTTCAAAAGTTAAGCTTGAGGATTCAATATTGGCTTTACATTCTTGAGGCAAAATCCCTCCATCTTCTGAACCACATTTTGTGGCTACTCCACCTGATGAATTTCCATCAAACTGAGCATTATTTGCCTGATTGAAACTAATGCTATCTGCTGAGTAGTCACTAATTGGCTTATCTTTATTTCCTGATACATTTTTATTAGATGTCTCATGTTTGCCTGATAAAGATTTCTGATCGCTTTTGAACATTGATTGGGATTGATCAAAAGGCCGTTTTTCTTGTGTGATGCACTGTTGCAGAAACTTCATCCGATTTCGATATAAATCTTTCTTCTTCAAAACAGCTCCTTTACTCATACTGCGACCAAGAATGTCGCTACTGTTGTTGAGCCCATCTTCTTTACAGCCTAGTAACTGATCTTTGTAAGGAATTGAAGAGTCTTCATTTGAAAGATTATTTTCAGACACCGTGTTTCCATCAATTTCTTTTAAGGTAGAGCTTTCTTCTTTGTTAAGAATTGTTGAATTTGTTAAATGCCTCAATGTCCGCTGCATTTCATTCTGTTGTTTAGTGGGTTTATCTTCTGTTTTTAATTTCTTACTCGTTTGTATGTTATCGGAGAGGTGATAAATAGCGAGCATATAGTTTCTGTTACGTGATCCTTTTGGTCTTCCAGGGCCTCTTTTAACATTTGGCTGTACTTTTGCTGTTTGGTGATGCGAATTACATAAAGTTTGCTTATTACATGATCCCTTCGGTCTTCCACGGCCTCTTTTAACATTTGGCTGTGCCCTTGTAGATTGGTAATACGTATTACATAAAGTATGTTTGTTAAATGATCCCTTTGGTCTTCCACGACCTCTTTTAACATCTGGTGGTGTATATATACAACCTTCACATTCATCCTCATCATTAAGACTGACAACAACGTTTTCTTCTGGAATGATTTCGTCCTTTCTAGGACGTCCGATTCTACGTTTTTCTGATAAAGTATTATTATCTGTGGTATTATTTGCAGGGAAAGTTTGCTTTTTTGTGATACAGCTTCTATTTTCAACACTGTCAATTTTTTTCGAGGCATAATTTGAGCGGTTTTTAATCAAATTGGCAGTAGGAGTAATACATTCTTTTCTAGTCAGCACAACTCTAGATGGCATTGAATATGAGATACCTAAGGGAGAGTTTCCTCTCTTTTTTATTACTTCATTGCTTAAAACTGTATTTTTAGATTCAGGAGTAGTATTGTCTAATTCATTCTCCTCCTCCGGCTTTAGTAAAATCAGGTCTTGTTTTCTCTGCCGCAAATATCTACAATGAATTGTAGATTTATTGTTTGTAGATTGGTCTTCAAAATTTTCATCACACTTATTACAAGGATTTCTGTTCTCAGCTTTATCAGCATTTCTAGAAGAATCAGTCAAATTCTCACTCTCAAGATCATTTTCATTATCTTCTCGTAAAATCAATCCTATTTTTCTAGGACGTAAAGCTCTCTGATCCAACTGATCAACATTATTATCTTCTTGTGGAGTTATTTGTATTTTTCTAGGTCGCAAAACTCTTTGTTCTATTGACAGTAAGTCATCTGTGGAAAAACCATCATCACTAGATGTACCTATTTTAGTGCTTAGTCCTGCAGTATACAATTCTTGGCTATGAACATTGTAGGTACCTATGGAACTCTCTTTCTCATGTGGTATCTCTTCTTCTGGATTTAATTTTTGTTTTTTAGGCCGCCCAATTTTAGGTTTCAGTGAATCTGTTGACTGGTTGGCGTTGCTATTCATGCTGATTGGTTCAGGGGTAAAATCCACATCTAAAGATTTATTTGAAATTGTTTCTAAATCAGTTGAACTATCTTCCTCAAGATCTACTTCATTTTTTTGTAAAATTCCTTGTCGTTTCCTGGGTCGAAGAACTCTCTCTGAAATTAAAAATGAGTCAGAGGAGGTCAAGTTGTCACTAACATTATCAAGTGCATTGCTTATATTTATAATTTTAGCTTTACTAATATCTTTCCTGGAGTCTGTAAAATTCTCTTCCTCGGGATGAAAAACTCCTACTCTTGGTGTTGGAAGTTGTTTGTTAACCTGATTTCCTCTTTGCTTTCGCAATTTTGTATAATCTGAGGAAAGTTGTTTATGTATTCCATCTGTTTTGGCTCTAGAACTTTTATTTTCATCATTTTGATGGATGTTTGTGACATTCTTTCCCCTGATAACTATTCCATCTTGATCAGGATCAATATTTTGTTTTCTGGATCCTTTAAAACGTTGTTTTACTAACAAGTTATTAGTTGGAGATGGTTGTATTTCATTACCAACTCCAGCAGCCAAAGTTTCATTCTCTTTTTTAACTGCTATCTTCCTAGGTCTTCCTCGACCTCTCTTTACTGATGTATTCAAAGTTTTTACATATTTTGTTGTACTTTTTGAGATCTGTAAAGAGGGAGAAATGGTAGAGGAACCAATCTTCTCCTCTAAACAGTAATTAAAACCACTATAGTAAGGTATATGAGGGGCTGGCCTTGAACTTCTATAAATATCTGATAAAAAGTAACTTGAATCTTTGGAATGATTAGTGGCTCTGATGAAATCTATGGTGTTATCTCTCACATAAGAGGATTTTATGGTGCTAAGTGGTTGACACAGCATTTCAGAGTGGTTTTCTTCTCTGAAGTTGTCTGGGATGGAATCTGGTGTTATGAACTCCACATCCGTTGGTGTATCGTTTAGATTCAGTTCAATTTCTCCAACATAAGAACAGCCAGATGGAAATACAAAGTCTTCAACATCTAGAACAAGAAAGTTCCAATCAAATAATAAAAATCGTAGCCAACTTTTTTTTTAATAAATGAGCATTGTAGTTTAATAATGAAGAGGAAAATTATGCTAAACACACTAAAGTTAGGATACAACTAACTAAACTAAAATATCTTAGGGATGTTGAAGTCATTCAAGAGATTAATAAATACTAAATGTGATGCAAAGTTTGACAGCCATTAATGGTGGTACAAATTGATTAATTTTCTTAATGTTGCATTAATTATTTCGATCACTTATAATTTTTCTCAGATTAAAAATCACCCAGAATAGAATAATGTTTCCAGTTGTATTGATGGTTTTGCTGAATTAATAAATGTATACTATTTAACCACCCGGAGAATAATCTATTACCACCAATGTACATTTTCACAACAACCAAATTATGTGACCAATTATATAAAAAAAGTATAACTACCAAAATTCATTTAACAATCCAATCACTTCCAATTTTAAAAACCAATCTTCTAATAAACAAAGAGTACCACACTTAAATGGATATAATTTTTAAAATTTTTGTGTTTGCCTGTGTTTAGTAATTAAGTATTAGTTTGTTTAGTTAATAAAAACCATTGACGATTTTCACCTAAAATGTAAACTGTTATATAAGAGAAATAATTGACAATTTAAACTTTTTTGAACTTATCATTGTAATTGAATAACTGTTTAATTTAGTATTAGAAACTGTGAATAGAATCTTTGCGTATTTAGGGAAGCGGTGTAAATATAAGTTAATTTGAAGGGTTAAATAACATTGAGCGTAGTTAAATATCACAGAATATTATAACATTTTCCCCAAGCAATAGTATGTAAAGTTAATAGATAGGATAATTTACTTTTCAGAAAGCAAAAGAGTCATAGCACAAGGTACTATACCGGGGAAAGTAAAAACTAACACAAAAAATATAAAAAAACTATTTGTTTGAAAGCTATGTCCACAAAAAGACTGTTTATCTATGTTTGAGGAGAATTAACTGTTGTCTATTGTATTAACAAAACTGTCGTTCATCAAATATCGGGACATAATTGATATAAAAGACTTGTTTTTGTTTAAAAAAAAATATTTATTAAATCTGCTAAATTATTTTAATGACAATAACACCAGTAAGGCACATTGTGAAGAAGTTTCTATTTTTTGACAATAGAGTACCATTTTCCATACAATATGAATCTTTAAATAGCTAATACATTACTTTTAGTTTACTTCAAATATGGTTACCATCAATAATAAAAAGTTAATAGAATCACAATCATTTAGAACTAATTCCTAGGATGTAATAAAATTTGAAAATATTTACAAAAAGTAACATTTTATGTTCACTGAGCAGATAAAATTTTATATTGAGCTTGTAAAAGTTCCTATTGACCATATGTACAAAAGAGGTACTACAATAATATGGTTAATGGAAATTAAGTACCGGTAACTGTTTACAAAAAGCAGTATTTTCATTTTAAATTAAATTATTAAAATATTTCTAATAATTTCTGGTTTTAAAAATTATTTGTAACTTTGAATCTTTTAAACTTCAATCAATATTTCTCAAAATTACATTTTTACCTCTAGCTAAGTATGGTTTATGGTTTAAGCTCCATAAACCATACTTAGCTAGAGGTAAAAATGTAATTTTGAGAAATATTGATTGAAGTTTAAAAGATTCAAAGTTACAAATAATTTTTAAAACCAGAAATTATTAGAAATATTTTAATAATTTAATTTAAAATGAAAATACTGCTTTTTGTAAACAGTTACTTAATTTCCATTATTAACTTACATTACTTAGGCACGTGTGATTCATAAAATGTCATTGACTAAAAACAACATAATCTCCTTAAAAATATGCTCACCAATATTCTTAATTCCAAGAAAATAATATTCATTTGATGAATAGTAAAAAAGAAACATTCCTCACAGAATCTATTTACAAAAATTGTATTATTCAACAAATAAATAATGATAGGTATTCCTTATGCTAAACTAGACTTTGAAAAATGGTAACAGATTTTTATCAATTTAATGTATTTCATTTACTGTGTAAGGACCACGATACAAAAATACTTCCAAACTAAACCAGTCAAAATAAAAGAAACTTTCAAAATGATCTAAACCAGTCACAATAAAAAATAGTTGGTAAAATTTATTGATCTGTTATTTCGCCAAAATTATGCGTACACAGCATGTATTGGTTGAAAGTAAATTCCTTCAACTTCAAATAATAGTTATTAGATGAACCAAAAACAATAATATTTCAATAAAAGTGATCCCACTTTGCTTTGCAATACTGTCTTGAATCTGAGACCTAAGAAAAAATAATAACTGTACTCTATTCCCCATTTAAAAATACTTGTACCTTGACAAAAGCCTATGAGTCACGTGTTTCAAATGGCAGTATCAGGGACATTAGCCGAAATTTTTTACTACCATACTTATTTTGACTATACTAGGACATAAATTTAAATAATTCTGTCAAAATACCAATCGATAAAGAGCGTGAAGTTACAGAAATAGTGTAAAATATTCTTTGAAGTTGTGAGAACAGTTGACAAAACCTGCATGACAATAAGCAAGAAGATTCCAGCAAATAATGGCTCCATATTTGCATTAACCGAACCTCTTCCATAATGTGCAACTGTAGGCTTGCATATTAAATAGTTTTCAATACTATGATAATCGATGCAACATAGTAGATGTTGTGGTTTCAGATTGACTTGTCGTGTTGGTATTGCATATGACCCTGCAAACCGTGTTTTCTGGCAAACTGTTTCTGACAAATGGTACAAATGAACTGCTTCTGTTTGCCACATTGATACCGAAGGTGATTCCAAATAGAGTTTCTATGCTGGAACGCTTTTCCACATTCGCAAACCCATTTGCCGTTCTCCTGTCTTACTTTTGATTTACAGTCAATCTTCCCGTCAAACGTTGCTTGATTGAATACTTCAAGGACTGGCATTTCTAATGAGTAATTTTTAGCTACTTCTTTATTCAAGATTTTGAAATCGTTAACATTGGTAGCTTTTACAGAAGCCTCTAGCTCTGAATTACTATTGGGCTCATGAGTTTTGGTTGTGTTTATCGTAGCAATCTCTAACACAGGCATCTTTTTAGAAGTGTTTTTACTAGTTGTATCATTGCTAAGACTTAGATTACTGTCATCAACAGTTGTTGGGACAGGGTTCAAACTTAAATTTAAGTTTTTACTGATATCTGGTATTGAATTTTTATCAGGAAGTTCAACACATTTAGTGATCTTCTTAGCACTTTTCTTGACATTTTTTAAAGCAGTGTCAGAACAAAAGATATCAGTTCTTACTGAAACACACAATCCTTCAGCTTTCTTTACTTGTCCAGGAGTTTCAACAGTTAAACTTGAGGATTCAATATTGGCTTCACATTCTTGAGGCGTAATCCCTCCAACTCCTGCACTACTTTTTGCTCCACCTGATGAATTTCCCTCAAACTGACTATTACTTGACTGATTGAAACTAATGCTATCTGATTGGTAGTCAATAATTGGACTTTTGTCTTCTGATACATTTTTATTAGATGTCTCATGTTTGCCTGATAAAGATTTCTGATCACTATTGAGAAGCGATTGGTCAAATAGCATTTTTTCTTGTGGGATGCGCTGTTGTAGAAACTGCATTCGATTTCTATATAAATCTTTCTTCTTCAAAGCAGCTCCTTTCCTCATACTGTACCTAAGAATGTACCTCATTTTGTTGAGCAAGTCTTTTTTACAGCCTGGTAACTGATCTTGGCTCGGAATTGGAGAGTCTTCATTTGAATTATAGTTGTCAGAAACTGTATTTCCATCCATTCCTTCTAAGTTACAGGTTTCTTCTTTGTTGAGAATCATTGTATTTTTCAAATGCTTTGATGTTTGCTGCATTTCATTTGGTTTGTTAATAGTGGGTTCATCCTCTGTTTTTAATTTCTTACTTGATAGTATGTTATCGGAGAGGTGGTACATAGCAAGCAAATAGTTTTTACTTTGTGATCCTTTTGGTCTTCCACGGCCTCTTTTAACATTTGGCTGTACTTTTGCAGATTGGTAATACGAAGTACATAAAGTTTGTTTACTATATGATCCCTTTGGTCTTCCACGACCTCTTTTAACATCTGGTGGTTCTGAGATCTGTAAAGGAGGAGTGGTAGAAGAATCCAGCTTCTCTAAACAGGAATTAAAACCACTATAGTAAGGTATATGAGGTGCTGGCCTTGGACTTCTGTAAATTTCAGATGAAAAGTAACTTTGATCGTTGGCTCTGACAAAATCTATGGCGTTATCTCTCACAGAAGAGGATTTTATGGTGCTAAGCGGTTGACACAGCATTTCAGAGTAGTTTTCTTCTTTGAAGTTGTCTGGGATGGAATCTGGTGTTATGAACTCCACATCCCTCGGCGTATCGTTTAAATTCAGTTCAATTTCTCCAACATAAGAACAGCCAGATGGAAATACAAAGTCTTCAACATCTAGAACAAGAAAGTTCCAATCAAATAATAAAAATAGTAGGCAACTTTTGTTGTTATGTAACTAGTGAGTACTACAACTATTCGCAGTGCTATCCTGATAATTAGACCAATTGGTTGGTTACAAGGCAAAAATTTGGTTAGGATTCCACTATAAACTATAAGGTCCATGAGTTGCCATTGGCTGTATGGCTTTTAACTAACAGCTGTGTCTAAGGAACATGTCGGCCTTAGTCACTAACAAGATTACAAGATCACACCACTCATCTCCAGTAATTATTGGCTTAAAATACAGTAGAACCTTATTTAATTCGAACCCCTGTAATCTGAACGCCTCATTGCTGTGTTCTATACACAGTACAGTAGTTCTTTATTTTATACTGTATTTATTGATATACACACCGTAATTATTTCAATTGTAATGTACGGTACTGTTTATTCCCTATGTTTACTGCTGTATTAAATAAACACTGTATTTTACTTTGTAAAGCATTTTTCACTTTTCCCTAGCTATTGATATGTAAAAACAATATGATCTGTAATCCAAACTATTCAAAAGTCCGAACTACCCTCGGTCCAAATTAGTTTCGATTAAAGAGGTTCTACTGTACCTACATGTATGGTCGCATAAAACAAAAACACATACAACATACATTGTACAAACACATTACATAGTAACAACTAAAACAAAAAATAAAACAACTATTTGTTTGGAAGATATGTCCACAAAAAGACTGTTTATCTATGTGGGAGGATAATTAACTATAGTCTATTGTATTAACTAAACTGTGGTTCATAAAATATCAGGTTAATAATTGATGTAAGACTTTGGTTTTTGGTTTAAAATAATTTATTTAAGTAGCTAATTTATATTTAATGACTGTAAAACCAGTTAGTAAGGCATATTGTGAACAAGTTTGCATTTTTTCACTTTTTGTGAAAAAGTACCATTTTTCATAAAATATGAATTTTTAAATAGCTAACAACACTTTTAGTTTGCTTCAACAAGATTTGGTTACTATGAATAATGAAAACTATCATATTAGATTAATTTAGAACAATTCCTAATGATCATATAGATATAAAATTTTAAAATAGTAACAAAATGTCACATTTTAAGTGCTTTGAGCAAATTAACTTGTATCTTAAGCTAGTCAAGTTAATGTTCCTAGATACAAACCACAAACTAGCTATTAGCTAGAGGTAAAAATATAATTTTAAGAAATATAGATATTGAAGTTTAAATCACTTGAAATTTAAAACTAGTTATTCAAACGATAAATTATTAAAAATGTATAGTTGAATTTAAGATCAAAAGTGCTGCTTTTTGTTAAAAATTATTTTATTTCCATTATAAACTTACATTACTTAGGCACATGAGATTCATAAAATGTCAAAGATTTATTTTAAATATTTAAGCTTAACAACATAACGTCCTTAAAGTCATGTTTACGAATAATCAGTGGAAGAAAATATAATTCATTTAATTAAAAAATAAAACAAACATTTCTCTCACAGAATCTATTCACAAAAAATATGGTTATTCAACATATAAATAATTATAGGTATTCCTTCTGCTAAGGCTTCGTAAAAGGGTAACTGATTTTTTTACTATTTGACCTGAGATATAAGAAAAAAATAATAGCTATACTCTATTCCACATTCAATCAAAAATACACACCTTGACAAAAGTTCATAAGCTACGAGTTTCAAATGGCAGTACCGGGTACATTAGCCGGCATTTTTTACTACCATACTTATTTTCTATACCAGGACATAAATTTAAATAATTCAGTCAAAATACCAATCTATAGAGAGCATAAAATTACAAAAATATGTAAAATGTCCTTTAACGCCTTCATGAGAATAGAGAGAGACGATTCCAGCAATGCTTATGGTACAGAAATCTTCCACAAGACCTGCACAAACCTCTCTGACTGTTGAATGTGAAGTTGAGTAGATAATAGTTTCAACACAATTTCTATGTATAATAAATCTCCAACAGAATATAATTGCTCTGCACTGTTGAGATAGTGTTCCTCGATTCTTCAGCAACTTCCAGATACTTGTAGTATAATACAACTGACTTTTGGATATTGAAATCATCCAATATTCATAGACTAGCAATAGCCAATTTTTACTCTGATAGAAAAGTTAACCGAACCTCTTCCGAATGTGCTATTGTAGCCTTGCAAGCTTTTTAGTTTTTAATCCTATAATATTCGATGTGACCTAGTAGATGTAGTTTCAGATTGACGTGTCGTGTTGGTAGTACATATGACTCTGCAAACCGTGCTTTCTGACAAACTGTTTCTGACAAATAGTACACAAGAACTGCTTCTGTTTGCCACATTGATACCGAAGGTGATTCCATACAGAGTTTCTATGCTGGAACGCTTTTCCACATTCGCAAACCCACTTGCCGTTCTCTTGTCTTACTTTTGATTTACAGTCAATCTTCCCGTAGAACATCTCTTGAGTAGCCATCACTGTAAAAATAAGATGCTTTATAAATAAGTTCAATTTATAATGATAATGTTGGTTTTGATGATTATTTTTTTATTAACAAATTTGTTTATGAAAGTTACATGTTTGGACACAACCACAGTGTTTTTCTTGAATTCATTTTGGGAAATAATTGTATTGGATTATTGTATTTTATTTTTTATATTTTATTGAGTTTTAGAAGTAAAAAGTGTTTTAAAGAATATTTATAGTTTAAATATTTTCAGTATTTATTCACTTCTGAATTTATTTTCTATTAATTCAAAAACAAAATACGAACATCAAATTATTTTTGATATAAAGAGGATTTTTAAACCAGTATAGCATTTCTGCTGAGTAATTATTGAAAATAAAATTTTAACAGAACTAAAACAGCCTTACTTTATTCACTGTATTAACAAATTTTCCAGGTGAAATAACTAACATTTCAATAACATAATTTTTATTCAATTTGATTACATAAAAATAAAAATAAAAACACAAATTTACTTGTATTCATTTATGTTTGGACATCAACCTGATGGTTGTATTTTAATGTAACAATTTAATCAAGATAAACTAATTTCTTAAAATTTGAATCTTAGGGGGTCTAACAAAATATTCTATTCATTGATCAATAAATTTCATTTACACATTTATTTTTTCAATGGTAAACTTAATCAAACTTAAATTTTAAACAGATGAAATAGAATTTTTACATAGTAGAAAATTCGGTGATTTGGGAAACCTGTGCACTAGAAGGATCAGGTTTTTGTTGGTGGAGTTTAACAACATGTTTCTTCAGATCGTGTTTATGTTTCGCTACGTAAGTGCAGAAGTCACATGGAAACTGAGGTGCTCTACCGCACTCAAACTTAACGTGTCTGGACAGCGAGGTCTGGTGGTTGTAAGTTTTCCCACACTCCGCGCAGACAAAATTCCCACTCTTTTTGGCCGTCCAGCCGCCTTTTTCCACCCAAACGGTTTCACCTTGGTTCTGTAATGATCCTGAAAGCATCCCTTTATTACTCCAAGGGAAGGTCACAGTCATTACGATTGAAATATATTATATAAGAACTGAGTTGTGCAAATACAAAACTTCAAATGAAACTCTTCATGAAACTAGTCACATTAGAAAATTATTTTCTTGAGTTATATAACTAATTTTGTAATTTTTTTAATTTATTGATTTATTAACACACAGATTACTATTTTTAACTTGAGAAAACTGTAAAGTTTGTATTTTTAATAAATGCTCGAAAATTGTTTAATTTGCTAGTATTTACGCAAGTGAATAATTCTTTTGGATATAAAACTAATTTACCTCTGTATCTTCTTAATTGGTGAAATAATTTTTATCTCTAAGCTATTCATATCAACACCTGAGAAAACATCAACGTTTTGCATACATTTACTTCAAAATTTGTTGAGATCTCACATTCAAGTCGCAAAGAGAAATTTATAACAATGGCAAAGGGAATAGGATGAGACAAGTTAGTACAAAAATAAATAAAATAAACTTTAACACATTTTATCAGGTAACAAAGGTTCACATACTTAGTGATACAACATATAAAAAAATTAAATCCTTCACTTTAGAATTCAAGAATAGAATTTAGTTGGAGCAAATAAAAGTGACTAGATTAAGAATAACATTTTCCTATCTGCCTTTTGAGTCCATTTGTGTAAGGCAGAATAAAACTTAAACATAATAACAGCACATACAGATTTGTACTTAATTTCACTAATTTATCACAAAAAGTAAATTTCTCTACATTCCGCCAAGCCTTTGAGTTCATATAAAATAGGCGGTGGATAAACATAAAACTATCATTGGTGCCTAGATTTCTCCCACATCACATTTTGATCATTTCACAGCCATTATGATTCTGCAGCACTGAATTGTGATTATGCTGCAGAGATTCCTGATAATGCTTGGTAAGAATATGACTCTTCAAGTTGCCTTTCAGAGTCGTCCGTAGGTCGCAATACGGACATTTGAACTGAGGATTCATCTTTTTGTCATTGCACTGAAATTTCTGGTGGGTGTTGAGGGACCGTTTGTGTGCGTATGTTTTCCCGCAGTAACAAGTGAAAATCTGTTTCTTAGCAGATTTATTTTGCTCCAGAGAAAACTCATCTGAAAAAATCAGTAGAGTCAGAATAACTTACATTAACAAAAAATATATTTTTGGGAACACTAACAACCATGACTTGGCAATAGGCTTATGAGTTTTAAATTTTTCTTTAACAAAAAAGCATCCAGTAAAAGGATTAGTTACATAAAAAATGCCACACAATAAAGACGGATATTTTTGGTGTATAAAATAAATTCTCATCAATCTACTCTAGGGGAGCGAGCTGGTCTAGTGGTTATAGCGCGGGACTTCGGTTCCCGAAGTTCCAGGATCAAATCCGGCAAAATCACCGAGGAATTTGATTTAAGTGATAATGCCGCAACCCCTAGGTCTAACGTGAAAAACAATTCCGGGCTTGTATATTCCAGTGTTTACTTTTAAGCAATGTTTTAGTAAATTGTAAAACACGTAATTTTAAAAATAAAACAAGTGCATTTTACATCC